CAATTGCATTGCTCAAATGTGCTGTTATTGGTACCATTTACTACTGAAAATATCAACGAGATGTTTATTTATATTTGAAGACATATTAAAGGCTTTAACGCTTGTTTTTGACTCGCACTACTATTCATGATTGAACAAAACTTTTGGCAGGTACTGTATGAAAAAATATGTTTAATGAACAAGAGTCGAGAGTATAATGAGCTTTTTTCTCCCTTGGAAGGGGTACATCGCTACGAAAAGTGAATGAAGTATACCTTAACTTGGATTAGAATTGGGTTAATTTATCAAAGCTCGAAAGCTGTGCGAAGATGTGTAGTAATCGAGACCTTTACAAACCGAAAATATATTTATTGTTTTACTGTAAATATTGAAATATGTGTTTGCAGGTAACTATTTAGACGACCGTTATCCTTCAAAAAAGCTTAGCATTTAAAAACATTACAATTGAATTTTTAGATAACGGTGTTCACATAAATACACCTTAAGCCAGCCTTGGGTTGACTTTATACTAACCTTTTTAGTTTCTTTCACTGTAATCACCCACAGACAATCAATTGGCATTTCATTTTCTTTTGTAAATTCTCGAATTTCCGGAGGCACGTCCTTTGAACCAAAAAAGCCTTCCTCTCCTGTTAGATTTATTCGACAATACATTTTCTCCGGCGTTTTCACTGAAATCAGAATAACATACTTATTGTTTTTTCTTTTTTTTTGATGTTAAATAAGGTGAATATAAAAGAAAAAAAATCGTATTCTTTTTATGCAATACGTATTAGACAGATTTGAAATGTAAGAATTGAAAACATCGAAATTCTAGCGAGTTGTTATTAATATATATATAGACATAAGCGGAAAAACATCTATAACAATAATCCTTAAAAGGTTCATCTGTGTTTACTGAGTTTCGCGTACATTTATAAGTATAATACGCTTAGATATTGCCCTCCATATAGGAACATTATGCCGAAGTTTATTGTAAACATATTTGCGATATGATATTGAGCAAACATCCCCAAATGTAGATACGATCGACTATGTTTTTCTTATACATGCATGTAGGGAAATTCTTTATTATTATGTTCATAACTTTCAAAAGTAATAAACTTTTGTTGATATATGTATATGCAGTAAGGATTTGAGCAATTTTTCTTGAAGAAATATTGGCAATTTTCCTCTCGTGTACATATTTGTATGTAACGAATTAGGAACTACTTTTAGACCCAGTTTCTTATTTTGTAGTAATCGCAAAATAATCTTTCTATTAAGTATCGAATATATATTACTTTTCCTGTGCATACACCTGACGTTTTATTTTTGCTTTTTCGAAAAACGTCAAAAATATCTAAACCAGTATAACTAAGGTTTCAGTAACAGATACATCTTTTGTGAAATATTCTATACGAACATAAACGAAATTAAAAAAAAATAACAATGTTGGAAAATGTACAAATTAGGCACTTGATTGATAGAAACAATATTATCGAGTTGTGAGGGAGATTCAAGTTGGTTAAAAAACGACATCGGATTTATTTATATTTAATGAAGTTGCCTCATTCGAACCAAAAATTGAAAAGGAATAATGGATGTTTCGTTTACGGTAACAGCGTTTGTAACTGGTTAAAAAACAGCATTGGATTTATTTATATTTAATGAATTTGCCTTATTCGAATCAAAAAATGTAAATAATAAATGTTTTCTTCATGACAACAATGTTTGTGACGATCCCCGGCCCAGCCAAAAGGAAATAATTTATGTATTAATTTTCTTGACTAATAAAGGATAAACAACGCAAATGTCCGCTGCGCGATGAAACACTGCGCAACGACTTCGGTACTGTCAACTGTCAAACACCAAACTAGCCAAATCAGATGCGCACTGTCTTACTGCGCAACGAACTGTCGAGCACAATTTGGTTATTGTTTCATAAGCGCGGTGGAATGTCTAAAAATTGCTCTTGGGGTTTGTTATAGTGAAATGGCAGAAGATTTATCAGTCAACGACCTCAGTGTTATCTATCAAAGCCTTTGCCGCACCATTACAAGTCTCCAGGGTAAAGTTTAGGCAATCGAGTTCATCGAGAATGTTACAGAACTCTGCGCGCAAAATTGATGTTCTAATTCTAAACCTTTGCGTTTGCCTCTACTTTACTTATCAGTGTATTATAATGTTGGTTTAAATGATGAGTAAATACATTATCCCGACTAGAAATTATGATCGTGGTCCTGACAGGGTACAACCTCGATTCATGACAAGGTTTACCCTATGTGGATACGAGTTGGACTGTTGCGCTTTTTTTTAAGAAGGACCTGATAAGGAACAAAATAATTCGAAGTGGTCTGTATTCTGTCGAAACTGCCAGACGCGGATCGCGATTTCGATCCTTTTGGATCTCATCAGCGCGTCGCAGACAGCTCCGACAGAACACAGACCAACCTTTACCTGCTGTCTTAACAACGCGTTTTAGAAAATACCACAAATGGCGTGGTGAGCGCCATCTGTAGTACGATGCTACATTTTAGAATTACGTATGCTCCAACAAGGTCCATTTAAATATATGGATATCTACTTGCTGAAACGAATCCCGGCGTAGCTAACCTCATTATGATAGGGAAATTCAAAGAACCCTGTCAAAACCTGATTGCAAGTTTATTAAAATAGGGTAGTTTTAAGATAACCATAGATTTATTGATAAAATTTTTTATTGATAAAATGTAGTAATGACTCGCCCCCATGTGTTTTTTAGGCGAATCTTTGGTTATATATGTTTTTGGTGTTTGTTATCAGAAAATACTTTCATATCACCCGTTTTGGTTAAAAGGTGACTGATTTAGTGCCGTACTTTTGTCGTGAATTTTTTCACGATAAACGTAGCTACAGCTATTGCTTCTTTTTTTTATTTTTCGGGGAATCCCAGGATATGGGAAACGCTGTCGGCTAAACCATATTTCTTTCACGAGCAGTGTAAAATAGTAGGCTACCTTGTGATAGCCGTAAATAACGCTAGTAATCTCATCAAAGCAAAATTTAACCGGGGCTGTGTATTTTGTTGCTGAGAGCGTACGAATTCCTGATGCGTACAAATTTGACACTAAACCAACCGTAATTTCGCTTAATGCAAAAATTTCAATTAATGAGGCTCCCCTTGCGTTTTTTCATTTATTGTATAAATCCATTTTAATTCGCGGTCTATCTTATGTAAACTGTGAAGTCGTTATACGTATAAGGAGAAAACTAAATTTTTATTACAATGCAAAAATTACAATTTTAGAATGTAAATGACTGAATCTGCAGTAGAAATTGTAGAATTTTTTTGGTAACTTGTAATAATCTCAATTTGACATGTTAACTAAAATACCTAGTAAATTTATTTCTGCTGGAATTTCTGTTTTACAAAGTCGGGTCCAAATTGTATGATAATTTTTATTATTTTTGCTTACGAAGCAACAGGCTAGTGGGATAAATTGTAAAAATCGTTTTAATATTTAGGTAAATTATCCATTTTCATTTCATCCGTGTAGGTATTACAATATTATTCGCTGGTTAACATTATTATTGTAATATTTTTGATTGAAGAGGACGAGATTCAAATATTACTAATCGATCAATGCATTCAATTTTTCTTGTTTAAGCATCCGGAAATATAAGAAGAATTCGGTAGTGGCTAGCTCCTTGTCGCTGTAACGTGCGATAAGGAGCTTCGTTCCAAAAATATGCAAAAATTATTTGTAGTGTAAATCAATAACTAGAAACAGCAAAAGAAGTAGGTACAGTTTGACCTAGTTATGAGTCTACAATATTTTCATTTGAATAAGCAGCATTTATAATTTCTAACTATGATATTTATGTTGTGTAATTTATTACAGCCATTTATAATTCAGTGGCTTGAAATTCCTGTGAAGTTATTTTTGGTAGAAAAACTACTTCAAAGAAAGCATTGTTCAATGTAGATGACATCACAAACTTTGTATGACACCTAAAAAACATCCCAATGCTGCATAAAGAATAAGTGTTTTAACAGGTATTTTATTGTTCTTTTGCTAGATACAATTTATATATATTTAACCTATCAGGAATTAGAGTTCCCAAAAACGAATTCCAATTTACATATAAAAAGGCTAGTGTCTTACTTTTAATCTTTTGTTTTAACATACAAAATAATTGCAGAAGTTTTGTGATGTACATTCCTGCTATCTATTATATGTATTGATGACGGACGGGTCGTCTCTTCGATCTACACTATAACGCAAAGCCGCACGGTAGAGCAGAAGTCCTCTTTAGTGTTTTTCCACAAATCGTGTGGGAATGGACCGATGCCTTTCTGTGCTCTATGGGTTGAAAAACACTAATTTATATTTTGTAGACGCGTACAAAATTAACTTTTTTTCTATTAGGTACTGAATAAGTTTTAAAATGCACAGAAATACGCCCCTTCGACAATGAGGGGTGGAAACGCCTACCTAATTCTATGACTTTTATATAGGTAAATGTTCTGTTCAAACTTCGAACGCCGGCACAGTGGTGCTTTAAAAGTTTTGTTCTGGCAATTACAATTATTTGTCAATTAACTATCCAACCATTATAAATTACCATCTAACGGGAAGATTCAAAACGTGCTTAACAAGGGAGCCCCTTCACAACGTGATATTTGTATAAATTTAACAACCAAGTATAATATACAAATAGCAAAAGTTAAAGAACATTATTCATGGTATATGCTACAGAAAATGTTTAATGAATAGTATAACTATTAAACCTACTTCATGTTTTTACATTACAAAGGATTAAAAATTGCAGAATTCTCGGTGATATTACTTTGGTTATAACTTTTTTTTTGTAGAGTTTTACGCTTCATTATTGTTATACAAATTCGCACCGTAGGACACGATTCATTATTTCTTACTGCAGGTGGAATTCATGTTGCATAATGCATGGCGTTCGTTGCTACATCGGTTGTTCTGAAATAGTTTCTAGCAAATCAGCTCATTGCTAGGTTACCCGATATGCCGCACAATATTCAGTTGTTTTTCCCTCAATCCCTACATACGCCAGGGACCGATTAATTTTGTACCTTGTTTGTGATGGCCGAGTTTAACTGAATCAAGCCAAACTAAATGACTGTCGGTTTGCAGATAGAACTAGGAAATACGGAAAACAATAATCCATCACCAATCAGATACCCATGTCATGTGTTTGCATAAAATTATTGATATTTTTTTCCATGACAATAATTTTTTACTTCAATGCTCTTATCCTTTATACTAATAACGACTCTGAAATAAATTTATTAAAAATCTAATCGAAAGAAAGAAAATGTAATAATAAACATACAGAGTAATCATTATATACAAAGTCTAACAGATATAAGTGCCAAGCTTTGGAAGATGTAATCTAGATGTAACAAACAATTGTGCGGTGAATTAAGGAAAAAAAGTAAAATAAGAAAATCACAATAATTTATATTCGGAACAGAATCTTGTGTGTGAATTGGAAACGTAGGTATCTAATACTGAATTGCGTAGTGCTATAAAAACTGCAGTTACATGGATGGAGAATGTAAACATTACCGATAATCGGATGTTAATAACACATTGTGTGCGAATACAAAAGAAAAAATATATAATAACAAATAAGAAACCCGCTTAATTCTTGATCGTTAGACGAATTGTTTTCT